TATGTGACTTTTTCACTTTAGCTTTGTGTCAAACTTCAATCCGAGATAAGTAATTACATTGGTTTTTTCTTCTGCAGTATCCTTGTACCTTAGAAGTAGTTTATGCTCTTACGGGCCAAAGAAAATTCTTGGAATGCAGTTTTCGCGGTGTTGATTACCATTCCATTATTTTCGCACAAGTTTGCTAGTAGTTAAGTGTACTATATAGGGCACTTTCTGTCATCTCCTGAACGTTTTTTCTTAGGGGCGGAATGCCATAGGACAGGATCATCTGCAATCCACGTTCATTATCACACCAACGAGCATATTAATCGGTCAAATTATGGTATTTATGGTATTGAGTCTTCTCATTATTACATTGCAAAATTGCGCTCTTAATATTAAAACGTAAATCTAGCTTTCAATTTGTTTTCGTCAAATAAGTAAAAGTTCAAATCTGCCTATCCGATAAATTATTTAGAATCATTATTTTGATGATTCTAATTGTACCCCCACGCAGTGCTCTTTTGGCAACATGCACCCATACGACAAAAAGGTCTGTTAATAAGCAGTTGACTGCTGGCTTCTAACTACTATCACCCCATGTATGTCATATTCGATTACTTACACATTACTCATCTCACATTTTTTCTGCCTTTCCCACCATCGTCGTTGAAATTCTCTTTTGTTCCCTTCCTCCCCTTCCACCCTTTCCACTTGTTACACTTTGTTGTTTTTTCTCCCCTGTGAAGCCTGAAGTCAAATTATGGGCTAATGATAACTATCAAAACACCTGCCATTTGATATTAGTAAGAAATGATTAGAACTAAACATCGATAGTACTTGCTCATTGAAGTAAAATTTCACTTGGTAAACTAAATTTCACCGCCAATCACACTTTACAGATTGAAATGCTTCAAAAATAAAGCTTCAAATAGACTTTGCAAAATCATTTGTTTATACACTAAATCTGAAACGGAAACAATAATAACCAGAACTAATAGCTTATTGTGGTTCAATTTGAAAATTATAAAGTGTGCATATTTGATATAATTCAACGATAGTAACCTGTTTAAAAATGTCATGCATGCAGCCGTGATTTACTTTGGCTGCCAAATAGTCCAATACATTTCGCCCCTTTGTAGTGCATTGTGAAGGATGACCATTAAATAATTTTCTTCGTTTTGATAATGAACAAATGAAATGCATATTTGATCTTAGAATTTTAGGTTACAACTTATACCTTCCACATAAATGTCGGCAAGTAGCAAGTGGAATTTTGGCTGCAGTAAAAAAAGGCCTCACATCCCAATGCGATCCAATCAAGAGTATGGGCTTGACGCAAGACATATGCGAAATAATCAGATTAAATCTTCTGAAATGTCAATGTTACTTGAAGATATACGCAGTCTATAATCCACCCGAGAATAGTCTAAACTTTCATCTTATGAAAATCTCACACCAAACTGTAGATTTAGGAGACTCCAACACCCACTCAACCAGATGGAGCTATAAAAATATAAACATAGTTGGAAAGGAAAAAGAAAACACGCATAACAGCAACCCTCTAGAACTTATTTATATTAATGAGGATATTGCTACATATTTGCACTGCAATGGAACCAGAACAATCCTTGACTTACTTCTGTCTTCAGGCCAAATCAGCGAGCATAGGCGCTTCAAAATTATTAACGATCTTGGTTCTGGTCACAAACAAGTCATTGCTAATATTACCATCACCATCCAAATCATGACAACGAAAGTGCCAACTTAGTTATCATGAAACTTCAAGAAGGCTGGCTTGTCTAGATTCACACGGCTTTTTAGATAATGAACTTCATACAAGTCTGATCAACTTCAATCAACATCCTGACACATTTCGCAGCGAAATCACGAATATTATGATCAATTGTGAAAAGAAAACCATTCCCGTAGCAAATACTAAACACTATCGAGTGTATTGGTCTGACCAACTTGAGGAACTGAAAAGAAAGCGGGACGATCTCCGCAACACTGCTGATCAGACTGGAAGAACGGGATACGTACAAGCCTGGAGACGGCGGTCAGCTGTCTTAAGGCAAGCCACCTTACACAAAAAATGAACGTCTTTATAAATAATTCAGTTCAAATATCAACTCTCCAAGTGATACCCAACACACTTTTAAATTACTGGGTTTCCCAAAAATCAACAGGAAAGGACCCATGTAAGAACCAGTAAGCTTAAATAACAAACTGTTTACCACCGACTCCGAAATAGCTAACTTATTTGCAAGATTCCATTCCTACAAGCAAAAAGTCGCTTATGTCAGAAAATTTTCAAGAAATATAAAGATACGAGTAAGCATTCCGGTAAAACTGAGAAAGGTAAAATCTTACCAAATAATGCGTTTACTGTACCAGTCAGACCTTGCAAACTTAATGCTGTGATTAAACAACTAAAGTGCCAATGTCTCCTGCCAAAGATGATATTCATAAGGAATTTCTAATTAGAATGGGACCAAAAACCAAGTAATCCATGCTGACGCCTTTCAACAAAATCTATTAGTCCGGTCTCGTTACTAATAAATGGAAAGTTACCGAAGTAATACCAGTACTAAAAAGATGCAAAGAACCTAGCATCATTGAAGATTATAGGTCCATCTCCCTCACATGCTTGCTGGCCAAACTTATGGAAGTAATGTTTAAGAGGAGATCGAGCTGGTTACTTGAGACCAACTATACTCTTCGAAACAAACAAGCTACAGAATTGACTCAAACCACTCGAGAAGGCACACAACCAAGCATTAGGACTAATAACTGGAGGGATTTAATCAACACGCATTGACCCAATGCTCCTGGTTACAGTCAGAATCACAATATGTTCGCTTACCAACGAGGAGGCTTTGATCCTGGAGGAGAAGCTGGTGCGTTTACAGATGAAAAAATCCTCAAAACCTACGACAATAGACAAAGACGCATGAAAACGCAATCTTGTTTAAAACAGAAGTCCATGAAACTGAAGAAAGTATTAAAAATCAAAGACAAACCAAACGCTTGCCTATACCTGTTGACCCATTAGCAGACATTGATGTTAAGTGTAACAACCAACTGCTTGACCACTTTAGAAAAGCAAACACTTCTCCAGAACAAATGCGCTCACAGGCACTTGAGACAATCAATGCCAAATATCCTGCAGATCAATGGCTCTAAGTCTTCACTGATGGTCATACATGGGAAACCAAGTACACTTTGGTGCAGATATTTCCTCTCAACTTTTCCCTTTCGACGCAACTGCAAGACACGATAGATCCGATTTCGAAAAGGTAATTGAGGCCGTTAGAAAAGCACAAAGTCTATTATATTGCCTCGAACGGCTGTATATGTACCTTCTTACAAATTTGGAAAGCTGAAATCAACTATGTGGCTAATGGTAAATATCATAAAGCGTGCCATTTGAAATAATAATTATAGTTTCCGTTTCATTATTATGCTTTTAAATTTTTTTTTATTTTGTTCAAAACCAGATCCAATAACGGAGAGAATTCTGAAGCATATGCAAAATGCACTTCCACTACTTATTCATTTAAGTATACATGAATATCAAATAATTAAAAATAATCCCAATCCCTTCTTTTTTGATTCAAATGGCTAAATTTTAAAGCGATGCCTGAGTGTTGGAAAATCGATTAAACTATTAAAAGTAGCTTGCTATTTTGACTATTATTGACTAGCTCAACTAGCACATTATACTTCAAGTCAGGATTTAAAGAGCATAATTTTGGTGACATCGGTGTTTGAAATTTACAATCAATTCAGTCTCATGAGTGCAGCCTTCAAATTAATCGGCTGCCGAATAAACGCCCAATAAAGTGTTTTCACTCAAGGCAACATGAGGGTTTAGGATGTTTTCGCTTGAAGCTGTTTGCATGTAATTTTTGTTTCAATGAACACATGAGATGCGCTCCAATGGTGGTAGTGAATTCCAACTTCTTATTTTAAAAAAATTTCTTGAAAAATCATTTATTCCATTAAAAACGAGTCATTGAAATCAAGCCTGAAAATAATCATTCGCACACAAATAAGATCTTTAGCTTTGTGTTTGAAAGTGTGCAAATTAAGTCGAATCATTTGATTTAATTAAGATGACCTCGGCCATTCTCCATGTCTATCATTACATTGGAATACCAATTTTAAAGTTTAAATGATGATGCACTATTATTATCCATGGCTACGCTATTAGAGCTAAAAAACAAATTATTGCGGTTTTGATTTCCACTTAATGATTATTATTAAAAATTTTCCCTGTTAATTTAAACTTGAATTTCTATATTCTTAACAATTATCGTGTAACGAACCTCAAGTTTAGAGACATTTTTGACGGCGTTCCTCACAAGGCAAGTTCCGATTCTCTACGTATAATTGATAAGGAAGATGATCAATGCATGTGTACTCAAAATAATTATAGACAATTTCTAAAGCTGCTTTACTAGTAAATGGGTCCTTATTGGCAATTATCAGATGTTGTGCTGCGGAGATTAATTTATATTAACTTATTCGAAGTCGTCAACGGCCATCTCTATCAAAAAGATCATGGAAACGATCTCTACCAATCTGGAATTCTACAGTCAGGCATTATTAGCTAAATATTGATATTCCAATATTTATAAACTATTAAGACGAGTACTATTCTTTATAATTCACAAGAAATTTAAACCCGTGATACCTTTTCTGAAGGCTTATGTCGGCCAATTCAAATTGGTTCGCAGAAGAAGAAATTTATGACATTATAATCAATGACATTATTATAGTTGGAATATGTCGGCCTGGTGGTCTCGAGATATGGTTCCGGTTTAAAATCCAATGAAATAAATTTTACGACAACTCGATTCTGTGTAAGCAGCAACTTATTTCATCAAAAGAAATGGAAGCCAAAACTTGCGAAATTACACAAAACAACTTTGAATTTATGGAATTCTCGTTATAAATAACGTCTTCTCTTTTCACTGTTGGGATGGGAGCAACATTCACGCTTTCACTAGAGCATGTCGGATTTCAACATTAGGAATGATTTCCACAAAGTGTTTTTTTATAGAGAATCAGTTTCATTCATTCATGGNTGTCTTTCCACACAATGAAGGCATTAATCATAGCAGAATTCCAGACATCAGCGTGCAACGAACCTAATGCTCGAACAAAATAGAAACAGTGGACAGTGGCACTCTCCGACATACCCGACTGGCCAAGAATCAGAAACAGTGGACAGTGGCACTCTTCGATATAGCAAAGGAGAAACAGTGGACAGTGGCACTCTCCGATATAGCCCCAAGGAGAAACAGTGGACAGTGGCACTCTCCGACATAGAGGAGAAATAGTGGACAGTGGCACTCTCCGACATACCCGGCTTTCCAGACCTCAAGGTTCAACGAACTCAAAGCTCGAACAACAGAGAAACAGTGGACAGTGGCACTCTCCGACATACACTGGCCAAGAATCGAAGCCGTTGCTGAGTTTAGACTTCGAACCGGACACGATTGCTTTCCGTTGATGAGTTTAGACTACGTACCGAACACGATTGCCTATAAACACCTTCACAGATTGGGAGTATACACTCAACTCACATGTACACCTTCACAGATTGGGAGTATACACTCAACCCACATGGACCTTCACAGATTGGGAGTATACACTCAACCCACATGCCCCCTTCACAGATTGGGAGTATACACTCAACCCATATGCCCTTTCACAGACTGGGAGTATACACTCAACCCACATGCCCTCTGGATTGGGAGTATACACTCAACCCACATGCCCCCTATGTAGCCTGGGAGTATACACTCAACCCACATGCCCTCTATGTAACCTAAGAGTATACACTCAACCCACATCCCCTCTATGTAACCTACAGGAGGAAATGGTATACACTCAACCCACATACCCTCTATGTAACCTACAGGAGCCACTCAGCCCCCTCTTCACAGATTGAGAGTATACACTCAACCCACATGCCCTCAATGTAACCTACATGAGGAAATGGAGAAGAACAACCTGATTCGGTGTCCAGCCCTAAAGACAATGACGGATAGTCAGAGAAACTAGAAAGCAGGAAGACAGCTAATGAACTGCTATTAATTAACTGCTTTAAATATACCCCCCCACCATTGGGGAAATTGATGTCGAAGTTTAAGGGCTATTGATAAATATCATAATGCATGTCATTTAAAATATTCATATTAACCAAAAAGTGAGCTAATTTTAATAGTTTAATCGATTTTGCAACATTCACGCATAACTTATAACAACTTTCCGACGCAGGTAAATTTAAATTTACAATTTGTAAATCCTGATCAGTAGGTCTTCGAAGGGCTCACAGATTCGCATTTTTGAAAAGCGCAAATCGCTTAGATAAGATATACAGAATTCATTTGGATTGATCTGGTGAATGCTACTGAAATCTTGACATGACTGTAACTGCAATTTCATTTCAACTATCGATTTGATGGAATAAATAAGCCAACACATTTCCGATTCCGGTTAATTTGGGTATGGAATTTGCAATCCTGCTCAGTATTAATTTGAAATTCTAAAATTTTGTATTTCCAAAAAGAAAAAAGGGAGGCGTTAATTCCAAACAAGAAATTGAGAATTCATTGTCATTGGTTTAACAGTATGATAAATGGTTGTCTCCTATTATGCCAAAAATAATTGAAATAGATTCTCATCATGGATTGTAATTAAACAACTATTTAGTTATTGAGCAAAACAAAATGATTTTCCGTTGAATTGAAGGGAATTTCATTAATCATTTTCGAACATTACTTTCATGAAGCACCAATTTGACAAATTATTTAGTGTAAGAAATGCATCTATTTGAAAACAGGCGCATGAAAGTCCAATGGCAAATTAAAATGTTATTTTTTCTAGAAACTGGTAATTTCACAAGGCAATTTCAAGGCCGTGTATTTTGGCAAGATGAGCAGCATTTTTTTGCCGTTTCATTATACCAGGTCTCTGATAAGATTGAAGAAAACGAATTATATTGGAGAACATACAGTGGTTCTATTTGCAAATGAACTCTACGTGGATAACACAAAGTGATAAATGGCAATTTGCTGTTTGTTAAATTAATTCAAAATATTGATATAGATACATGCATCAGCCATTAAGGTAAATATTATTCTTTACAATTCTCCTTCAAGTTATAACCCGTGAAACCTTTTCTGGATGCGTTTGTCAGCCAATTCAAAGTATGTTGCCATGATAGAAATTCGTGTAATTGGAATATACCGTCCTGATATCTACGCTCCACTCCATGTCATAATCGATCGTGGGTACAGTACCCACCTTACCTTTTTCTAACTTTTTGTCTGTCTGTCTATTTTAATAAGTTTTGGAATCCCTCTGCTACTCCCTCTCCCCATTTCAACTCATTTTGATAGTTATCATTAGCCTTTTAGCTGATTTTGGACTTCCTATATAGGATGTGCATCAAAGTGAAAATGTTTTAAAATGATAGCAGAATGGTAATTCAAATGTGCAAATGAGACAGGACGACAAAAAGCAGAGTGAAGTGAAGATGAGTGCTGTGTATGCATTGGGATTCAGATGACAACTGCCGGTTTATGGTCTCCATGGTATAAATTTATGATATTGGAAATAGTGGCATTATTATTATTGTTGGACTATGTTGGCCCGGTGGTCTTGGTGTTTGATTCTCGCTTGGTAAGCGAGTGGTCCCGGGTTGAAATCAAATGGCCTAAATTGTATTTCAACTCGATTTTGTATGTGCAACAATATATTTCCATAACATGAATTAAAGCCAAAGTTTGCAAAAATACACAATACTACTTTGAATTTATCCAACGCTCTTTATAAATAACAACTTGACTGTTCACTGTTAAAATGGAAACAAAATTCGCGCTTTCACAAAATGCATGTTGTATTTCAACATTAGAAATGCTTTCCACAAATTAATTTTTACAGAGAATTTATGTCATTCAATTATGGAAATTAAAATATAAACTCGAAACCTAATACTTCTGTATGAATCCTACAATAATTAAATAATAACCTAACCCTTAAAGTTAAATTTAACAATTCAGAATATTAATTTATTAAATGATCCTATTTATTTTGAACACTATTAAGCATTAAGCTAAAGATCATATTTGTGCGCGAAGGATTATTTTTAATCTTGATTTTAATGACTCGTGTTAAGAGGATATTTTGGTCCTGAAAATAAATTTTGAATTTTTATGTATAATTTCATATTTTAAATATTTAATATTCCTTAATAAGCCCTTTTGTTCCGTTATATCTATCCTTCTATATGTATATACTTTAAGACAATTGTTTATCGGAACAGGAAAACAACAGTTTTACGAGTGAATCAGTATTAAAATTGAGGAAATCAAATGATGAAGAATTAACTATAGGTAACTATTGCGGCTAATGTGTTTTGGAGTTTTCACGGTCTTTTCAGGAATTTCTTTGTTTTTTTCGTATACTATATACAGCAACGAAATTATACTTTCAATAACAAGACACGAGCATTCAGCGCATCAAAGGAGGTCAGAATTGCTCAAACAGGAAACCTTTTGAATAGGAAAATCGAAGAATGTTCAAAAATTGGCACAAAAATGGTTTTTATCTTTAGACAGTCGTCATTTTTTAAAACAACATTTCTAAAACTTTGCCTTTGTTCGAGACATAGCGAAAGAAAATTGTTGATTGATAATCTTTTTTTTTATTTTTTGATCACAAATTGATTGTAGGGTAAATATCGTAGGTATGGTCATGGACCATATTCTTGGGAGGCACCACTATATCAACTGATAACAAACGGAATTTTAATTTTTTTAATTTTTATTTTTTTGCGCTTCTAAGGTGAATAAATAATGTATGAATAAAAATTGATAATAAAAATATTGCTCTTCATGTCCCTAGATCAGAATAGCCCCTTAAATGGAATTAACGATATTTCAAGTAAATACCTTAGAAATAAGAAGACATAATTCTCTACCACCATTGTAACACATCTCATGTGGTCATTGATAAGAAAATCATATTCAAACAGTTTAAAGCAAAAATATCCTAAATCTTCATAATGCCTTTGAGTAACAACACCCGATTAATTTCAGGGCTGCTCTCCTGAGACTGAATGTTAACCATAAACACCACTGCCTCAAATAAATATACCCCCAAAATCCTAACCTGAAGCATAAAGTGTTATATGAACTAAACAATATTAATCATAATTAATAAGCATATTTTAATAGTTTAATCAATTTTCCAACACACAAGCATCGTTTCAAAATTTAGGTATTTGAAACAAAAAAGGGCATTGGGTATATTTTTAAACATTTGATATTCATGTATACTTAAATGAATAATTAGTGGTAGTGCATTTTATATATGCTTCAAAATACCCTTCGTTGTTGGATCTGGTTTTATAACAACACATAAAAATTTAAAATTATAATGACAAAATGAAAAAAAAATGTAATCATTGTTTCAAATGGCAGGCCTTATGATATTTGTCATTAGCTCCTTAGTTGATTTCAGCTTTACCAAAGGGGGATGAATACATATAAAGCAGTTCATTTGCTGTTTTCCGGCTTCCCAGTATCTCTACGTTTTCGTCATTATGTTTATAGCTGGACACCGAATCAAGCAGGTCTTCTCCTTTTCCTTTTGCAGGTTACATAGGGGGCATGTTAGTTGAGTGCTTACTTCTAATCTATGAAGGTGCTTTTGCAGGTTATCCTGCAGGGTACGTAGTCTAAATTCAGCAACGGATTCGATTCTTGGCCGGTTTTTTATGTTGGAGAATGCCACTGGCTACTATTTCTCCTTTTGTCGAGCTTTAAGTTTGTGCCACCTTGAATTCTCTCTTGTTTAAGGTCTTCTTGAAGTGGAAAACATCGGCTGGTCTGTGCTTTACTTAAATGCTGTCCCCTTTGGTGCATGTGTGCCAACGAGCTCATTGTCTTTACCGCCACAGTGGCCAGAAATTTATTGTAGGACCACTAATTTGTTTTTTCACTCTCATCAACTGATACGTTTTTTGGATTCGTATATCTCAGCTTGTTGGGTGGCCCTTTGCTTTCATTTAAGATTATTGCTGCCTGTGCGGGCAATAGATTTACTGATTTTGTGAATTTCGTATCGACGCAACATAATTTACTCAGTACATTAGTAAAGGTTTCAAGAAATATGTGCATTAAAGCTTATTCCCTGCTCTATTAATTTGATCATTCTAAGTAAGAACAAAAATTGTCCCGAAATCATGAAATAAACTAAGACCTTTAATTGTCTGCTGACTGCTTTAGAGCTTGAGATGTGGTTCAATGTTAACTTTGCACAAAATTAAACCTGTTAGAAATTGCTCCATTTGAAGGTAAAAAACTTCTAATCCAGGACTGAGAAGATAGGAATTTGCTTTGGCAAATTGGATTGAGTGAATTAATATTTGAAGAAACAATGGACACTCGATTGTTAATTGTTGACATTTTGCCATAAAGGTACTTTGAAATGGCAAACTATTCAACCCCGTTCATATCTGTAGCGGATTACTACACTAATAAAGTATTGATGGACTCAGAAATCTCTGTGACAGTACACCTATATTTTGTTGAATTTACCATCACGAATTATTATTTTCAAGACCACCTTAAATGAATTCTTTGATCTACAGAAATGCATACCGTTTCCAACCATCTAATCCAAACTTGAATTTCAGCACAATATTTGAGGTTCGCTAAATGTCTGCTATATGCTCTCCTTCTTATGTATTGAATGAAGCATAAACTGATCAACTTTAAATATAGCTTGATCATTGCCTTTATTGTAAAATCTTTTACATATTAAATTTTCACTAATCCATCCATTGCCAGTAAAGATATATTTTCTATTAAATCAGCCATAGGGGATTCCCAATATACTTTGGAGCGTTTAATTTTCAAAGCAAAGAGAGAGCGGCATCTTTGGCAGTTTTTTTAAAAAGCGAGAGCTAGATTATTTAACACTATATTGGTTCCGTGGAAGATATGGAAATTAACGACTTCAAATTTTCGATAAATTAGAAAATTATATTTCAA